GAAATACCAGCTCCGTTTCCAGAGTAGTGTTGACATGGGCGGTCAGGTACAACAGTAAAACTCTGGAGGTAGATGAAGTGTGGGCTGTAAAAGGAAGTAGTATTTTCTTACGGATGTGAAGTCTTTGTTCTTCAAAGACCATAAAGGTATGAGTCAAACTCCTCAAACCATGCACATAATTCAATTGCAACGTGATGTCCCATGGCGTGTTCTATGGTCATGGCTGCAATGACCTCAGTCTGTGGTCATCCTCAGAGACGATCACACTGGAGTCTAGGCTGCTTTGAATAAAAAGTCATCCAGTAGAGGTCACTGGTACACTACTGTGTGTACAAACTGGTCTGGTTTATGCGTTAATGTATGATAAATACCAGGGGAAGCTTCCTTCCTTTGCCACAAAAGTGTGGGCAATCTGTTACCCCAGGGAATATAAAGAGAGTTTAGCATTTAAAATTTATTTGTGGAAGAAAGCAGCCAAAATGTCAGTAAATATATTGGTGAAGGGGGGCAAAAAAAAAAAAAAGAGGAAGGCCAAAATTCAAGTAATGCGTAAATTGTGTTTCCTATTCCATGTTTAAATAACTATACTAATTTAAATCAATGGCTAGCATGAAGATTGGTGATGTTAACAGGAAGATTTTTGTTTAGGAGGAAAAATCAGTCCAGCCTTAAGTTCTAAAGTATTAAAATAGTGGGTTTGCAGGTTAATTAAGAAATGGTGTTCTTGGTGCACAGTGTAGTGTGTAATGGCTTATGACAGAGGAGCAGAAATGACAGGATGGTCATCACCAGCAGAGAAGGAAAGGTGTGGAACAGGAGACAGGTGCTATAAACTTCTATAAAAACTTGTGGAAGAAAAATAAAAGCCAGATCTTTCAGACTGTCAGTCTAGCATTTTTGAATCCCTCAGTTAACAGTCATGGAGTAGGACCAGAGGACCAGAAAGGATGAGACTAGCGTCATATTGCACAGAAAGTGAATAAGAACTTCACCCTCTTCTTCAAAGAAAGAAACAATTCTGTTCTGGTCTGTTCAAACTTAAATTTTGGTTTTGTTTTTTAAAAGCAATATGCAACCTATGAGCAAGATGAGGATGCTGGATTTAGGCAAGTGCACCTGGGAACTGAACTTTTGATGAATGGATAGTTAAGACCTTTTGAATTAGGGAAATAGCCTCAAGTTGCGCCGGGGAGGTCCAGATTGGATATTAGGAAAAATATCTTCATTGAAAGGGTTGTCAAGCATTGGAACAGGCTGCCCAGGGAAGTGGTTGAGTCACCCTCCCTGGAGGGATTTTAGATGTGTAGATATGGCACTTAAGGACATGGTTTAGTGGTGGAGTTGGCAGTGTTAGGTTTACAGTTGAACTCAATGATCTTGAAGGTCTTTTCCAACATAAATGATTCCGTGATTGGTTCCTTACCATCTTGCCTTACAAGGTGTGAAGGAGTCAAAAGTTTGGATACTGTAGTTTAGGTGCACCTGTTTCTTTACAGATGAAGCACTGGCACCTTTAGTGTGCTGGAAACCTTAAGTCTTGGAAGGAGCTCCTGCCTAGCAAGCTGTGGTGTACCCTGGCAGCTTGGAAAATGGAGCTGAAGCTTCCCATTTCCTATTCCTTACCACACAGACTGCTCAAAGGCAGAAATCTGTGCTTTCCAGCCATCCATTTGCTGCGTTGTTAAGAAAGCAAATGGGGAACTCATCCAGAAACTTGATGGATTTCCTGCTTATTTCTGCTGCCTGGGGGGGACTGTTGGATCACTTTTTTTTTTACTTTTTTTTTTTACTTTCTTTAAGAGCCTTTAAACAAAACTTACCAGAAAAGAATTTCTGGCTAGGTTAGCTTTGGGTAGGAAAGATCTGGGGTTGTGAGCCTAAGTCCATATTTGAGAAAAGAGGCAGAAAGCTGTTAATGGAACTCTTCTCATCAGTTTTGGACTGCATGAACTGGTAGGAATACTAATTTTGGCACCAAGTCTAAGGGACTCCAGGGAAGCAAACAGGACAGACCTGAGCAGCATCTAAAAAGCATATGACTCTTGGCTTTGTTTTCCAACTAAGAATGAATTGAACCTTTTCAAAGCTCTTGTCCAACGTAAACAGAATGCGATGCCTAGCTGTTTACCCAGGCGTGCTCTGCCTAATAGTCAAAAATAATTGTCCGTGATCAGCTCTGACAAAAATAAAGAGGAAGTGTTAGAACTTGCAGTACAGAAATTATTATCTGGAGTTAATTGCTGAAGCAGCTCATTGAAGAGGAGAAAGTTAATGTTTGTAGGAGGTAGGGCTGTGTGTGCACATGCACGTGAATTTTTTTTGTTGTTGTTGCTTTTGTTGTTCCCAGTTTGAAATATGGATGCATATTCTGGTTTGGAAGGTGCGCTGTCACTTTTACCAGCTTCAAACAGAACCTCTGTTGGAATCTTACCTACCCCAAAGTTACTGGAAATACTTTGATTCATTGTACAAAGTCCACGGTGATCTGAAGGTATTTGTTGTGCTAAACCAGCAGCAGAACTTCAGGCATTTTTTGGCTCCTCCTAAGTGGCTACTGAGTGCTTCTTGCCTTGACCTTACTGGGTTTGCTCCCAGGATAAGGTGTTGCTGCTCTGGGTTGGTGTCAGAAAGATATATTAGGAAGCTGTTTTGTTTGCTGGGAAACAAATGTTCTCTTTTCCATGACTTTGAGTGGAAGAAATGACATCAAAGTAACTTGTAGAACAGCAGGTGTTTATGACCTCTTAATAAAGCCAAGATAAAAGTGGTAGAGACTATATTTGCTGTATTTTCTTGGACACAACACAACTACATGGATGCTGAAGTAAAATTCTGATTCTGTAGAAGTTAATGGTAGATTTAATGAGCCAGTTCAAGCTAAAGATCTGAGGGCCCATTGAATCTCTGCTGAAATTTGACTTGTGTCTGTATAGTTAAGTAGGAACTGGATTGTCTCTAATTCCCTGCACATTTTTGTCTTTGGTGACTTCAGAATACTGTAAATCTCTCATTCTAAGCTATTTTCTCTGGGAGGGGGGAATAGGTACTTCCATTATAAGACAAGATGGATTGCATACTTCAATGCCTGTAAAAGGTCAGATAAACACACCTGAAACACTTTGTTCTTGCTTTTCTAATAGCTGAAGATGACTGTCTCGGGTGTGTATGTTGACAGGGTAGATGAGGTGAATCCCACTCATTTTGTTTAGGAAAATCTGAAGGAGGAAGCTTAATATTTTTATTTGATCTATGGACTCAATACATTTTCAAGGGAA